AAGGGGGACTATTGTGTTTTACAGATGCGCGAGTAGAATAGTTTGACTCGAGGAAACAGTTTCGGTCTGTTTTTTGCGATATTCAGGTAAACATTAGAGAGCTCGAACAATAAGATCCGACATTGCCAGTGGGCCAAGGCTGGCCAATGTGGGTCGTTGGTTTTGCCACGCGTTGCCCAATCGTGGGTTTTTTAATGCTTAACTGCTTATATGTATGAAGACTTGATATGAACATTTTAGTTACAGTTTTTTAATTATTATTAAATATCTAATATATAAAATTCTCGTGTCACAATGTTCCGAAACAGCCCGACCGATACTGATGGAATTTTTTATGCAAAATAAGTAAGTCTGAGAATTGATCAACATCTATTTTTCATTTCCCTAAATGTTAAGGGTCGTCCACCCCAAAATTTTTATTTTTAGACAAAACTTTTTGATTTTTTTTAATGATACAGCATACAAAAGTACATACAACCCTTAATTGTCACCGCTCTACGATCAACCCCTACTTTTTATTATAGTAGATAAATATTTTTATTAAACTAAAAAAATGTTTCCTACAAATAATATACACGACGTCATACGACGTTTGCCGTCAGCTAGTAATTTTATAAATGAGTTTTTAATGTTAAAAATTTTAGAGCTGCCTATTTAAATTTTAATTAGCTAAGGTTGAAGTTTAATTACAAAATTTAAAATATATTAAAACTGGCAAATTAATGGCGTGTTTTGCAATAAATAATAAATTGACTTATTGCAATTTTAAATTAAATATTTTTTTGTGATTACGAAAGATTGAACCTTGGCCCCTTATTGCTATGTAGTTCAGTATGTTGTATTTTAAAATTAAAGAATTACTTGTATTATAATTGATAATTTGAATATTATAAATAAAAAGACATCACACGCGTCGAAGTATAAACTTTCGATTTCTTTATATCTTTTAAATTTAAAAATTATAATGGGTTTTTAATTAAACTGCGTGTTGTCAAAAATTATTTATTAGTTGATTGCCATATATACCCAATAGTTAACTCGAACAAAACAATATTGTAATGAGAACAATTAAGTGTTGCTAATCGGCGCGGGCGCTCCAAATTTACGTAGCCTAGAAAGAAACTGGTCTCCGATATTGATATATCCGATCCTTGACCTGACATGGGAAGTAAAGTCTAATTATAATCGAAAGTAATTTTATTTAACAAAATAAGCTACCATGACAGATTATTCGAATGCGGTAACATATACATCACATACAGAGCAATACACATAGAAAAAAACAACGCAACATTAAACAGTAATAGATTTAGACAAAAATACTAACTATTTCTTAGAGTCTAGGAACTGACTTGAATGAGGCCTGTCAGTTGCAGTTCATTAATTTTTTTGCATACATTGTGTCATGTGTGTCAATTATTTCAATTAAATTAACTGAGAAATGGCTAAATTTTGAATGCGTTACCATAAAGATAAACGTAATTTAAAAAGAAAAGACAGTAGTATTGCCACTTTCTTTTGTTTTTAGAATAGTAACTGTCATTTGAGTTCATATTGTTGTGATGGTGAAAGTGCAGTAGTGTGTACACGTAGGATTACTATATCTTGAATTATCGTCCCTTTGTATGAGAAATAAAAGTGAACTGTAAACACAATGTATTGTGAGCTTTTTTCAACTAGCCACGTTTTGTTCGTGGCGTTGCACGTGCATTTACACCGGTGCTGGTGTGAATTGTAGGAAAAAGCGGATGCAATTTTCTTAAAAACAATATCACAGTCGAAATTGAAAATTACATATTATTTATACATTATTCATAACAAAAATCTATGAACTTATATTTTGATCAATTAGCTTAATTTTAATTCAAAATCGTGTTCTTTACTCACACATTCTTAACAAACTTAACATTCTACAGTGCCATATACTTTTCTTGACCGGCGGGCGAAATTGGTACTACCGTCGCCATTTTGAAATGTCAGACTGACATTGTCAGTTAGCTCTCAAATACAACTACTTATCTACCAACATCTAATAAAAATCCAACTAAAATGTATTTAATTTTATTCCTTGCATTATTAATTACAATGGCAAAGTTTTAATTATCGAACGGTTCTGATTGCTAGGTATCTTAAAAGATATTATGTTAAGTTAGCCTGCATGACTACAAATGATTCCCCTTATAATGGTTAATTTTTAATTAATGACAATCCATGACAGTGACGCTCTTACCGGCCAAGAACGTGGCACGGTAGTTAAATATGACACACGATTCTTATGACAGATTTCAATTTATCTGTAGTTTGACAAGTATTTGACTTGGACCATCCCACTGTTTGCTACTAGTTGATAGTTTGTGTAATAGCCGTAGGGGAACGGAAACATTGAGTGGTATTGTTTTACACTCTTAAAACTTATGATATACAATTACCCTTTGAGGAGTTCCACGAGTCTATTGAAAATTAGAATTAACCCGTAGACAATATATACGTACTATAATAGATACACTCACTACGTACCAACTGAGCGTTTCTTAAGGCAGTTTTTGCCGCGCAACATCACTATATAGCCATACCCATATATATAGCTGCCCACTGAAATATTTCTAAACCAATTCGACTTAGGGTCCTTCAAGAAATGAGCGTACCAATTTTTAAAAGTCCGGCAACGCACTAGCTCATCGAGTGTCAGTGGGCGGCGGTGTCACTTAACATCAGATGAGCCTCCTGCCCATTTGCCCCATGTTCTATAAAAATAAATTAACCTATGATCTGGGCGTTTGTCATCCTATAGCTAACATACATAATATACAACAAAAACAATTAAACTAAACATATAGGCAAAGAGGGAATACATAATATATACAAAAAGGTTCAAACATTTACCAAAGGAAAAGTTGATAAAAATTATTAAATACATTTAACTAGATAAAACCTAATTCGGTTGTGTTGTGTGATGGAGTGAAAGTATGTGGGGTGTGCTCATGATGCAGGTTTAGCGCTATGGATAATCTTTATACTCCTTTTAAGATTCCGCGATAGCTTAACAACTCAAGGCTTAAATAGTGGTCGTTGTAAGTCCGGACTGCGCGATACAGAACTAAGTTTTTTTTATTATCTTTTTTTGCCTGATCGCTGCCCATAACCTATAACTTAAAACATATTGTGTTTAACATTTAAAACGAGATGTGGCACTGACCTAGGATATGTTTTATTCATGCTTCACAATATTATTTATATATTCATTATCCGGGTTTAATTTTACACCCCATTCGATGTTGTATCTCCTCCATCTGGACTATCAGTGACGAATGATAAGAAAATTCGACACTCAATAGCAATGGTTTTATAATGCGGTCAGTATTTTCAAACACAATTAACTCTACTGAGATCCCCCCATTACGCGGTATCACTACAACGCGAAGATTTCTCAAGTTATATTTCTGTAGCGTGAAATTTATGATTTGTCAAGTCTATAATTAGCTTTGCGTACCTTTTTTAATTGTGTTGTTACAAAATTAAACTAAATACCTTTATTAAATTCGTGTTCCTAGTTATTGAATTGATAAAAAAAACGGTTTTACGAGAATACTCCTACAATACGATTTGCCATAACGCGGTCCAGGTCTACCGTGTTACGGTGGTTTACTGTATAGACAAGTCAAGGTACGCCAGGCATGCTATTGTGACTTTAAAAGTCTGATGTCTGCTCTAATAATAAGCTTATCAAATACAAATTTATGTAGGTATCACTTTTGCCTCCCCTAGCCTTTATCTTTCTCCTCCGGCGTCTTTCTCGGCCAAATTATTATGTTATTTATCGTATGTCAACCTCCTTAGATGTTGCCTTCGTGTTCGGTACCACATACATGTATAGATCTACAATAGTCCTGTTGAAAAAAATAGATTTCTCGTGGATAACATTTATTCGAAAAGACATTGTTCATAGCTTAAACAATTGCGCTTCGAAGACACTTTTGCCAATTATAAATTAAGAAAGTTTTCGTAAAATTTCTGCAACTTTTCGTTCCGCAATTTAATTTCCAATCTCCTTTAAGATGTCAAAAACTTTCTAAACCACACAGCGAGTATTCGTTTTTATTTTCATTTTATTACTCTAGATGTAGGTCGAACGTTTAGGCTTTGTATTCTAGATTATCGCTGAATACTAACTATATAATTAAAATAAAATAAAAAAATGTGTTTATTCATAAAAATGCATTACGTGTAAGATGTGGAAACACTTTTAAGTAAAAAATACCTTTACCAGCTCTTCCATAACCAAATTAATATATATACATATGTACATGAATGTATATTAACTGTTTACAACAAAACAAATTCTTCACCTAATTTTTAACAGCATACGTGACGCGTAACACGCGTGAGTGCATAAGTGTGTGTGCTTGAATATGTGAGTGTAATGTGTATGCATCAACTGCACGTTAGGTCTCAAGTTAGCTTCTCTAACTCTGCGTTAAGGTCTGTTTAGAAGCCGGTTCTTAAACGGACTTTTTATTGTGGACGGTCAGCGGGAAGATGGTATGCCTATTTAATTTATTATAGGTGCAGTCTGTTGTAAGGATATATATTTTAATTAAATAAGTAAGACATTTCTCACAGGTTTTGATAGTTTTATATGCATTGTGATTATCTAAACAAATTATTAGCTAATCTGTTTTAAGGAGAATAAACATGCAATTCATATATCAAGTATTGTATCGATTGAAAGCAGAGGTATTTGGGTAGGAATGCTGGTGAAAGTTATATGTATTATGCATTATTACATACAATATGTTGATGGGAGACGTGGTTCGTTTGCTGATAGATATGCAGAATAGATAATAATTATTATTAGTTATATGTTTGCAGACGTATGATAGTGAGATGAAAACTATTTCTGAATACTGAAATAATCTTATAAAGTTTTTTTTAAGCCAGAATTCATGGAAATCTTTGCGTGTTAAATAATTATAGAAAATAGGAAGTGTGTATATTTTACGATGTTTTTCCTCACAATACAATGTTTTATTTATGTTGGAGAAAGGTTTCGAAATCATTTGTTTTCTGTTACAGATTACGTGGCTGGTGGTGAACTGTTCACTCATTTATATCAAAGGGAACATTTTAATGAAGACGAAGTTAGGATATACATAGCTGAAATTATACTAGCGTTGGAACAATTACATAAGGTAAATACGGTATAGTATTACATACATGTGATGGGACATCGTGGACAGAAATTGCTATTAATTAGTTTCATCATCGGACGTCAAAGCAAAATACCATCGGTATCACCTCGACGTCCGTCGTTCCACAACTGAGCATTTCTAAAGGCAATTTTTGCCGCGCGCCACCGCTATGTGGAACCAGCTGCCTACTGAAGTATTTTCGAGCCAATTCGACTTCAGGTCCTTCACGAAAAGAGCGTACCATTCTTATGCAGGCAACGCACTTGCGAGCCTCATAGCAATGTGAGTAGCATGGCCTGCGGTATCAATTAAATCAGGTGAGCCTCTTGCCCATTTGCCTCCTGTTACATAAAAAAATTAAACCCTTATAAATACTTGGTTGGCAATTCAGCAGGGCTACTCTGTAAAAGCAAAAAGATTTCTATTAATGTAATCTAACGAAAACCAATTTCGATGCCTTTAATATCAGTGAATGTTGCCTAGAATAACATGGTACGCAATATTGAAGTCGCTTTTAGTGTTACATAGTAACCTGCTGTATTCAAATTGAAAAATCAATACTAAATGCTACCCATTCCACAGCTTGGAATTATCTACCGGGATATCAAGCTGGAGAATATTCTCCTCGATGCGGAAGGTCACATCGTCCTCACGGATTTTGGCCTCTCGAAAGAGTTCTGCGGCAATGAGAAGAGAGCGTACAGCTTCTGTGGCACCATAGAATATATGGCGCCTGAGGTGGTGCGCTGTGGCAGTCAGGGGCATGATATTGTAAGTAGTAAATTACACCTTAGTTTAATGATTAATCACCAAAACTAGACGGATTCTGAATTGTGTATGTGGAACATGGTGTAATGGTTGCAGCTTGTTACAAACGTTGTGTAAAACAAAAAACTTGGCGATTAAAAAGAGTGGCGGAGAGTTTATTGCCAGTTCTTCTCTTCCGTTCTACACCCTTGATTTGAGAACTGGCAGTAAATGTAAAATTAAAAGCATTTAATGTATATTTCTTTTTTGACGTTCATAGTGTACATTGTGTTACCTTCATGATTAATGATTTTAGACTTTGATATACATATTTGTTTGTATATCTCGCTTAAACATATAAAGTTAGTTTTTAATAAATGCTTCTTACAAATATAATTTATAATTATTTTTTAAACATATAGGCCATTTATAAATAATATTGACGTTATGTTTTAAATTAAAGCAACTATTTGCAATCGATATAGCGGAGGTAATGTAATCAAGAAACCTTCACGGCGTATGGCATAGATATAGTATCGTAAATAGTTTTAATGTTCCGTATATTGCGATCTGGTATAACTTAGTCGGCCACAAATTGTGTTTTGCGTAAAGCTTTTAGTCCTCTTCTAACCGATTAATAAACTGGCGGTAATTGACAGAGATGCCAACTTCTACAGGAAGAGATTCCCCTAGGACCGACCAACGTTAAATACCCTGATTGGTTCGAGGCTTAATATAAATTGATAGAATCGTGCGATTTTTTTTAATTGTATAAATACCCTCTAAAAAGGTACTTCCTAAAAAATCCCCATGATTACCCCTAAATCTGGGGGGGTATAACCCCTTTGGCATCAGTGGTATTTGAAAATGATTCCGGCTTTTGAGCAAGTGTGCTAACATTCGTCAGGCATATAAGTATGTATGCATTTCTAGACATCTATAAGTAACAAATAGTTGCAGATTGTAGCGGCTTGATTCGTTAGCGTTGCGTAGAGAGGTAAAGTCTCTCTGCATCTTCTGCTGCCTTTACCGCGGAGAGTGTTTAGAGGAGTTGTTCGGATTATTAGTTATTACCTGCTGCAGCTGAGTTTTATCAGACGTCGAGGCAGAATACGAAATTCCACCCGTATCACCTAGACGTCCGTCGTTCGTCAATTGAGCGATTTTAAAGGCATTTTTTGCGGCGCACCACAACTGTGTCGAACCTGCCCATTGAAGTAGTCGAACCAATTCGACTTAGGGTATTTCAAGGAAAAGGTCCTCAAAGGTTTGGCATTGAGTGTCCTGCCCGTTTTGCCCCCGTTTAAAAAAAAATAACTTGCATTAAATTATCAATACTAGCGCAGTATTTATAATTATATAGAATGTGGAAGTCTTAAAGAAATCGGATACTTTGACCGGATTTTCTAACGCTGTCAAACAGTGGACATTTCTGGTGAGCCCTTTGTTCTATTTAAATTGATGACATCTAGCATTAACGAAACCAATGACAAATGAGTATCTTTATTTTTAACAATAATCTGAAATATTTTTGTAACGGTTTTTTATTTTATGAGCATAGACAATTTTAGAGTACCTAACGAATTTTAAAGTTGCAATATTCTGTCTTTATTTTTTTTAATCATAATACATAGATGAAATATGAAGTAACTTAGTTGGAATACTTTTTTTTCATTTGTCAAAGATATGATTGAGAATCATAGTCGACAGTTCCCGCCATGGTCAAGGCGGTTTGATTACGTTCTCTTTATAAAATAGGAGGCAAACGGGCAGGAGGCTCACCTGATGTAAAGTGATACCGCCCATGGGCACTTACATGGCCAGAAGGTTGCTCTAAAGTGCTAGCCGGCCTTTTAAGAATAGGTACGCACTTTTCTTGAAGGATCGAAATTGTTCGGAATTACTTCAGTGGGCATCTTCCATATAGTGGTAGTGCGCGGCAAAAACTGCCTTAAAAAACGCTCAGTTGTGGAACGTAGGACGTCGAGGTGATACGGTTGGTATTTCGTATAATGCCTTGACGTCTGATGAAACTCAGCTGCAGCAGGTATTAATCCGAACAACTCTGAACACTCTCCATGGTAAATGCGGTAGTAGATAGAGACCATATTAAAATCAATGATGAATTCTGGTTGAGACAGTCTCTGGAGTTATTATTTAATTTGGAACTATAAGGCCTGTTTCATAGTGCGATACTATTTTAATAGTAAAATCTGTTGTTCTTATGTCGTGATTATAAAAATGTTAACGAACCGTTACAGTGTAAATTACTACTTTCACCTCGGACACACTCATTGAGCGAACAGCTGAGTTACACTAAGAAATTGTTTATTTTTGGTACAGTACAGAGCGGTAGCTATTTCAGTAAAAAAATTATATGTTATCATAGAATAATATTTTATTTGCCTCTTCACAATATTGCACTTTACGGGTTTACATGCTGCAGGTATTGGCTTGGCTATCTTTGTAAGAGGCTGGTGCCTATAATAGGACTGTAGAAGTCCTGTGGTCACCAGCCTTCCATCGCGGACAGAAAATATATAAAGAGATGACTACATAATATGACTAAACTAAAGTAATATACAATTAATAAAACAAAAGCATGAGTGGTTGTGGGGGGTGAGTTAAACGTGTGTGATAGAATTTAATTTAAAGTCTACCTCAAATAGCGGATTACAAATTTTCTGTTGCATCGTAATCAAGGCTTTTGAGAATTTTTTATATATATCCGCATATATTAATATAGAATATTTAACTGTCGGTTTAAAGAAAAAAAAATCTTCGTCTTTACAGGAATTTCCAAGCTACATTCAAATCTAGACACAAAAAGTAAAGAAATATGAATACAAAAATATTTAAAGAAATAATTAACCAAGAATTAAAAACGAATTACATTGCAATAGTGCTATTGTTATTAGGCTGACAAAAGTCCTTATATCTTGTCAACGCTTTTACTATCATGTTAGTTATAGAGCCTTAATATTTTACTAATAGATGGCGTTTTCCAATTTTGGAATCTTGATGCTCAAACAGTAGTGAGCAATGTGATTCGACCTCTTAGGTCAGTTCCAAAACAACTGTATAAGCCTAAAGGAAAATATATAATTGGAAAAAGTTGACACTAAACTTTTATCACTCACTCCGTCTCCGTCTAACATATGAGCATTGAACACCAACTGTAGGCTGTCTCGCTCGGCCGTGACCCACTTGCCACGTACTAATTCGTTACGATTACAATATTTGTTCGTGTATTGTTCAATTTCATACCTTTGTCCTTGTTTGAATTACTCAAAATTTGGCGCGAATTGTAAAAAATATTGATTGAATGATATGTATATTTTTTTGAGTTACAGTGATTTTTATAAGAGTTGATAGGTATTAAAGCGCAGGAAAAACATTGTACAACTTTAAACATTTTCGTAGTATTCCCAAGACGTTCAGAGCTCGGCTATTATGTAAAAGCAAATCAGAGTACAAAGAACGTATAAAGAGCAATGTAGACACAGTTATATGTCTGGAACTCAGACTCATTGTCTGCGGAGCTAAACGCAGAGTTTAAATTCAAGCGCTTCACTGTTTAAGTACTTTTAAAGTAATATTATCATCTGTTTCTTTATTTAAGATTATTTAGATATTTTCGCTAGGAAGTAATGCGTTTTCATTTTTAAGTTTAAAATACAACAGAATACTTGTTTTTGGTCTATGGGTCTAAAGTAGATTTTTTTTTTTAATATTATGGCAATAGTTTTGGCTTTATGCCAGTTTTAAAGTAGATTTATTCGATTTTTAAATTTCGTTTTGGGTATTTAATTTAGTCTGTGTAAAGTAGGTTTCAAAAAAAAGGTTATATATATCTTCGTATTTCGAATCTTATTAAATAGCCATAGGACATTGAATCTCGTGAAACGGTTTCCACAAACAATTAACCAACATTTCAGAAATACATTTGTGTCACCTTGTCTGAAAATAGAGCGAGACGCTATAATTAGATTGCCGGAGTGCGAGTGGGATAGATATGTTTGATTGCGTGGGTGAGATGGCTGGTTTGTTCAGTTTTAATTTATAGTTATTTTTCTTTAATGGGGACATTTAGACGTAATCAAAATGTCTAGGGGGTTTACAAGATTTTTTTTAAACGCACGATTCTGTACAATTTATATTAACTATTAAGCCTCCCAACCAACAAACTTAACCGAATATAAACTCAAAGTGTGGCAATAACTGAAATATCAAAAAATTATACTCCAAGATCGAAATAACAAGCAATTTTATACTAATTAAATGTATTTTTGATGCATCACTGGATTGGAGTTAGTATGAGGTATATCTCAAGTCAAAGTTGTCGAAAACGTTTTTAATAATACCTTGAAGCATTAAAATTGTTTTCCTGTATTGTATCAGGCGTGTGGCATAGTGTTTCTATATATTACAAAGTATTTATAAAACTTATCTGCTATATTTAGAAGACCAAACGATGAACTGGCTTCAGTCGCACACGTCGAAATTATAGGTCAAATAAACAGTCGTAAATTGTCAAATATTTTATGTCGTATTTATATAAAACCACCAACAACATTTCGATACGAATTCTAGTTAAAGATAACTCCAATATTTCTAGGTTAGATAGAATCTACAAATTTCATTGATAACAAGTAGTATGCAATAAATGCTAGTTTGAATTTCGAATGTTCAAACCATATAAAATTTATGAAAAAACACAGAAACCTTCCTGCTATTTTCATAGACCCTGGTATAAAAAATCAGTTTTGTAATTCTCTGGATAATAAATCGTTTATATATTAATAAATATTTCACATATTTGACTAGAATGTTTAATGTTGTTCTTGGCTATCCAGCTCGTGTCATCTAATTTATTTTTTCCAAGCGCTCGCGCCGGCAACATGGCGGCCGGTATCAAGTATGCGGCTATGTAGGTCACGGCACTCGAATTTACGAAATTATTCAACACGACTCTCTTTCAATGCGGATTTTTATGATACAATTAGTTTAAATTTGGGTAAATA